CGACGAAGTTTCTGTGCTGGTATGCGTGGATAATACATCCGACGTGTTGACACATTCTCGTGTTAACAGTCAACTCAAGTCGCGTTGTTTTATTACAAAACGTGACATTGTAAGTTTCACAGCGAGTGTATACGACCCGCTTGGATTAATTTCACCGGTATTGGTACGCGCCAAACTATTTATTCAACTTTTGTGGAAGTTGAAATTGGAGTGGGATGAACCACTAAGTCCTGAACTTTACGAACAATGGATCTTAATTGCTGAGGATTTAACCGCTGCTCGTGATAATCAAATCAACCGGAAATATTTTGACAAGACTTCTCCAGGTGATACCTATCAAATGCACACTTTCGCAGACGCGAGCACTTCCGCGTATGGTGCTGTTGTGTTTCTTCGTCGTCAGCACGAAACGGCTCTTGTCATGTCAAAGACACGAGTCTCCCCTAAATCGGAATTATCTCTGCCGAAATTGGAATTAATGGCTGCACTGATCGCTACGAGACTCGGTAAACTCGTACTGAATGCTTTATCGGACAAATTCAATATAACTGAACATTTCCTGTGGTCCGACAGTCAAGCGACCTTGCATTGGATTAATAGCAGTAAGAAGTTGCCAGTATTTGTTCAAAATAGAGTGCAAGAAATACGCGACTTCACACAAGAATATAAATACTGTCCAACCGTGGACAATCCCGCGGACTTACTAACGAGAGGTATATCAGCTAATGACCTCCGTTCAAACCCCAAATGGAATTATGGGCCGTCATGGTTACCAGATCAACAAATGTGGCCAACATGGGATGTGAACAATGCTACTCAACTACATGTCAACATCACGAAGGAAGATGACGACCTCGTCAACCCGGATACTACTTCGCCAGTCATCAACGCACAAACCGCTCGTCAAGAGACTGATGAAAGTGACAACTCCGGTGTTCAACGTATTATTGACATTTCCAGGTACAATTCACTCGATAAACTGTTGCGTGTGACCGTCTACGTACTGCGATTTGTTAACCGTATAAAACAAATCACTCGCCAGCCAAACTCGGACAATAACAACGATATAATCACATCAACAGAACTCAAGAACGCTGAACTTCTGTGGACAAGAAATGTCCAATCTGAACATTACGGGGATACTATCCATGCGTTACGCGAACAACGACGCAAGTTCGGACCGCTCATTCGTCAATTGAACTTATTTCTAGACGAGAAGGAAATACTTCACTGTGGAAGTCGTATCCACAACGCACCGCTCGACTATGTGACGAAATACCCGATACTGTTACCGTCATACCATGCATATACACGACTAATTGTGATGAAAGCACACGAACTAAATAAACATTCTGGTGTCCAGTCTACAGTGACCCAGATTCGGCAACAACACTGGATACCCAAAATACGCCAGGTTGTACAGAGTACTAGTATACTGAGAAGTTGTGTGACGTGTCGCAAGGTCGATGGAAAACCGTTTTCCAACCCCGTTCAAGCACCGCTACCATCATATCGCGTAAATATGATGCCCCCATTCGCCGTGTGTGGAGTTGACTTCACTGGAAGTCTCATAACCAAAACACCTGATGGAAAAAGAAATAAAGCCTACGTTTGCTTATTCACTTGTGCAGTGACACGCGCCGTCCATTTGGAAGTTATACCCGACCTGTCAACAAAGACATTTCTACACGCTTTCCGTCGCTTCGCTGCAAGACGTTCACTACCCAGTCGTATGTTGTCCGACAACGCGTCCACTTATATATCCGCCGCGGAAGAAATACGCAATCTACTCGATACTTCAGAAGTTCGCGAATATCTCGCTTCGCATCGCGTCGAGTGGACGTTCATCCCGAAACGAGCTCCATGGTTCGGAGGATTCTGGGAAAGGTTAATCGGCATAACCAAGAACGCCATCAAAAAGGTTTTGGGCCGTGCGCTAATCACCTTTGATGAACTTTCTACCATAGTTACCGAAATCGAAGCTACTGTTAATGATCGTCCATTAACATACGTGTCTTCCAGCATCGAAGACAACGTCAGTTTGACACCGTCTCATCTGCTCAACGGCCGGTCATTGACACAGTTACCATACATAAACATTACCGACGATGAACTTTATGACCCCGATTATGACAGTCATACGAAAGTCAACAAACGATATGAACATTTAGTTCGTCTACACATACAATTCTGGCGTCGATGGCAGACAGAATATCTCACCGCACTACGCGAACGTCACCCTACTACCGGTACAAAGAACAATACTATTAAAGTAGGTGATGTTGTCATAGTACACGACGACATTAATCGCCGAGTAAAGTGGCAACTTGCTATAGTAAACAGTCTAGTTTACGGCAAAGATGGACTTGTCCGGTCAGCTGAGGTGAAAACTTCCAATGGTCATATGTCCCGCCCTATTCATAAATTGTTCCCGCTGGAAATTGTATCGAAGGAATTGACATCATCCAGCGATGACACAACGCAACCCACTGCCACAGATGGTATCACTAACATGCATGATGAAATCAACATCCCTACCAGTGGAAGTACAGATGATATACCATTGCCACAACGCAGATCACATCGTGACGCCGCAGCTGCCGCCAACGTCAGACTCAAAGATTTATTCTGAACTTTAGTGAAAATCGCACTAGATCAGAAGTTTACAAGTTCAATTTGTGTTCCCCTGAACTTGAAAAAATGAACTAATAGTTATTAGTGAACTCTTTTATCAATCGTTATTCGTTTATTCTCATATATATATATATTATTCCTGAATGTGTACTTTTTCTCAAAGTCGGGAGAATGTCGGAGATTCATAATATATATTTGTATTCGTTTTCATATTGCTAATATTATTATTACATGTCATTTCGCTATAGTTAATTCGTTTTACCTTTCGCATGAAGGATTCCTCTGAGTAATTCTCGACCAATTAGAATCATTTAATTTCAGCCAATCATTTTACTCTGTATTGTATCTTTTTCTCCCGCGTACTTCATTTCGTATTTCCCGCTTACGTGTTTTCTCTCACGTTCGATTCGCACCTATATAAAGGGCTAGTTTCGGAGTTTCGGGGCTCCTTATTCATGTGCTACATGTTTCTATGCCAGTTTATCCAGCAATAAACCATACCGTGTTTTGCATCCACATTGACTGTTTTATTCTGCCATCAAGTTCAACTGAAGCGTATTATTATACCCCACA